GCAATGTTGAGCAGTCCTCTGTTCACCACACCTTGCAGTTGCACTTCAAGCCTGCTGCCTCCCGGGGGTTGCAGGTTCTGCCTTTGCCAAGCTGTGGAACCAGCAGCTGCCACTGACAGGTCTCACTTGCTTCCCCTGAATTTTTTAGAGCTGCTAGGGAACTGGCTGGGAAAGAAAATTAATTTATTTTTCTGAGGCTGAAGTTTATCATGCAAACCAATTCTTCCCCCCATGTGATCAGGCATAGCCTAGTCACTGGTTTCTGATCCTTCTGAGAGTTATAAAAATAATTTAATATTTGTAACTTCTTCATTTAAGGTTTTTCAGAATATCTCTTTTTATCTCTTTTCCTAGTATAGAAAGGAATGTATCTGAATTCTTAATTTTTTTCACATAGCCAGAATATAAGTCCCTGTGCAGCTTTTCCTGTAGCAATTAGCTTAGCCTGCATCACCACAGATATGATGCTGTCATGTTCCAGCTATAAAATTAAAACAAGCAGATCAGTGAGCACAGGTCAATAAATAGAAAGCAAGGAGTAAAAGTTGTTTTCATCAACATAATTATTTTAGTAAATACTGTGTGGTAGCAGAAGGACAAGTGCTACAGAATATGTGAATTACTGTAATTACCTGAACTTTCGATAGCAGTCTGAATAACTCAGTATTTCTATTTGTGTGTGTGGGTAGTCTGTAAGATATGAAAAGATATCAAAAGATATCAAAAAACCAAAGGTAATAAAAATTATTTTGTAAAGTAAAGTATGTTTAACAGATAGGGAAGAAGTACAAATTATACAGGAAAGATGTTATTGTAAATTAAGCTGGATCTGTTAGCCCATGGGGAAAACAAATTGCAGGAAGAGCATTCATGAATATTTGAAACAATGAAGCATGAAACAAAGGTGGTCTGGGAGACAGTCTTGCGCTGCAGGGAGATGAACTGGTAGACTCCATATTAGGCAAGACAGATGTAAATTACATGCCTATTTAAACAGTTTATTTTAATGTGTTTCTGTCACATGCTTACACTTCTGCAGTTAATTTTCCGGAAGAGCAGCTGTTGCTCGTGAGTGGGCACACAACACCACGGACTCTGCCACAGCTCTGAGGGGTCCCACTGTGCCCCACCTGCCTTTCATGCCCCCAGCTTCCACTCTGATCTCCCCTGCATGAACTCCCAGCCCCAACACATGGCTTTACCCCTCCTGGTCACCTCTTTCTTCTGTCACAATTGGGCCACTTCCTTTAAAGACCTGAATTTTGTGAAACCAGTGGCTAAACTAACAGTTTTCCATGATCCCCTGGTCCCTGACGAACCTGCACTTCCACACGTGCTAAGTGGCAGCTCATGGTAGTGTGAATTTGCTCTACTTTATGCCTTCTCCAGTGAAGCAGCTTTTTTAAGGGAAGGGATCTGTTTGTGGTGCTCACCAGCTGCTTTTGCAGCTGAATTTTTACTGTATTTTGCAGCTTGAACCTTACTAAGCAGAATAGGGAGGTGTGAGCCGTATGTTGTAATACCCATCAGTCCCAGGTTAAGCAGCCAGGGGGCAACCTATGAGTGGTATTCAGAGCCCAGCATGGCTTTGGGGTAGCTTCACACCTAGGAAACCAACTCACTAAGAGATGTATGGCCTCCTGCTGCCCCTTCTGGGAGGTCCCAGGCACCCCTCAAGGCCACTCTGGGTCCCAGTCCATGTCATTTGACTCCTTATGGACTGTGTGGGGCCCACAGGTGCTTAACATCAGCTTCCTAGGCTCACTGCCCCAAGGTTATGGATGGAAACACCTAGTGCTTAGATGTGTAAATCCTTTGTTGAATCTAGTCTGATACCTGTCAGACACTGATATTCTTCAGTGCTGCCCTATCTTGTCAAGACAGAGGGAAAAAGTGAGTTGATATCCCTTCTCAGAGAGCAGCAGCTATTATCTATGTATGCCCATTTCCCTCCTGTGTCAACGTCTGTATGTATGCATATGTATAGATAAGGATCTATCATACATACCTCTGTATGTCCATCCTGGCTCAGCCTCAAGGGCTGCTGGAACATGTCTTCTAGAAAATGTGCAAGCTCACACAGTGGAGGATTAACGACTGGTAGGCATCCCCATGAAAGCAGCCTGCAGCCTGCCTGCAGTGCAAGCACGTGAACTGAGCACATGGAAAATGAACTTGTCACACTTACAACCAGTTTCAGAGCAGTACAGGTATCACATGAGGTTGTGCCTTTACTGTGGGATGACAAGAGCAAAATTCATCTTCTTTGTAGGGGGCATTTGTTATAAAAGAACTAAAACCCATCGAAAGTACTAATACACAACATTCACCCTCATTTGACTAAGAAGGAAATACAGTACAGGAGACCTTACTGAGAACAAGATTGACTGTAAACTTCTGCATCACAAAGATAAAAATTTTATAGCTCATTACAAAATATGCACCTGCAAGATTCAGGGGAACATCTATCTAGCGGAGTTTTTTCTTACCATAGGGATCAGAAAATTAACTTGGCATTCAGTTAAGTGTCAGTCTTAGTTCAAATTCCAAGGTAATATTTTTAAATTTTTATTCCAAAAGAAATAGCATAGACCCCACTGCCACATAGTGCCAAACTCCTCAGACAAATAAACAGGTTCAGCTCCTCTGTGTATCTACACTCTGCTAAAATGCTGAACAATGCAGTGGTCTTACCTGCAGCATTAACTCAACATGATGTTTTACTGGATTGTTCCCCCTCAACCTCTTCTGTGAAGGGTGCAGTAAAAGCAGCCACCCTGAGAAATAATACCGCATTGCCTGCACCCACACCGGACTTGTGTGCAGCAGTTCAGCTGCAGGGGAAGCACCCCACGCTGTCAGTGCAGCAGTGGTCTGAGCCTCTGCAAACTACTTCACAGTGAGGTGGAGGATAATCAGTTTGCACTCTCCCAGGCAAAAATGGTGGTACCCCAGGAATGTGTTAAACTTACCAAACTCCAGCCCAGGGTGAGAGCTGCAGCCTTTCTGCCATATGGTGACAGGGGCCAGATCCAGCCTGGAAGTGCCTATCCAGTGTAGGCATCAGTCAAACTATTATTTTGCAACAGGAGAAGAAGCAGGGCTCAAGACTCAGTGACAGGTTTTTTAGCTCTAGTTCTGCATGATGGGAAGTCAGCATGGTTCTTTGCATGGCCGATGCAGATTTTTAAGGGCAGGTGAAACCCTGTCGAGCAGGCCAGCAATTTTGAAGCAGGAGCAGAGGTCCTGACTAACACTGTTACACAGTCCTGGATCTGTGACAGATGGATGAGAAAAAGCGCACTCCTGGAGAGGCAATGTGAGCTTGTTTTGACCTTTCAGGGACATGCAGGTGAGAGGCATGCAGCACTGAGAATCAGGTTACTACCGCTATCCAAAATTTGCTAACCACCTTCCCAGCTGAACTGCATGACTGGAAACCTGTAGCCGTGGTACTGAACAAGCCACAAGCTCCCAAGGGGAAGATTTGCTGAGCAATTTTCATTTCTATTCATCCATGAGCAGGGAGGACAATATATTTCGCAAAACTATTAGCAGGTTTTCTGTGAGTAAGTAGCCCAAACCATAGAGATAAGCATGTAATTATTACCTGCTTCCCCAGCTACATCATATGAAAATATAAGGAGGAGAGATTCTCCATTTTACAGGCCACAATCAAGGGTTAAAGGCATCCAAGTGGAACGTGTACAACAGTTTTGTGCATCCAAGGCATGTGGAGATTTGGTGTATTTAAATATGTCTGTGAATTACTGTTGTTTATAATGATCCTAAGATATCAGTCTGTCATGTCCTTATGCCAGATAGTCACAAGAATACTGACACCCTAATAAGTTACCGGTAAGATGATTTCCTTCTTGTCATAGTTGAGCCTACTTTTTGAATGGTCCCTCTTCTGATTTTCTCACTGTGTGTAATGGACATTTTACAACAAACCTAGGCAAGGTCTGGTTAATTACTCCATTGCTGAAAATATTCAGAAACGTTTTTAGTAATGTTTCAAATAAGGTAGCATTAATAGACAAGTCAAATTCTGATTATAGAGTTTGCTATGCCCTGTCAAGAACTAGTGTGTATACTCTCCAAGAGAAAATCCATAGGTTAATTCTAAAGATTATTTTTTGCATTGGACATAGCAATATTTAGGCCTAAAATCTGTTGGTAGCAAGAATCTCTGAATTTCAGATGTCTAAATATGTTTGGAAAAGTGAGTACAGGTGTTCCTGCATAGCTTGGAACACTGACCCTTTTGAAAATCAGTCAATAAAAATTGCTGGAAGAGAGAAGAGACTAACTAAAAGAATCAAAGTACAATTGAAGCTGCAGACAAAGAAGGAGGTTTCTTGTATGCCTATGTCCTTTTTCAACATTACACAATTTTGATTTCTTTCATTTTATATACTAAATTCACTGATTATATCACATTGCAAGCTAGAAATATATCCATTTTCAAAGGACTAGTAAAAATATCAAGGCAGTTGATAACGTGTTAAAGACAGAAGGAGACCAAAATCCAATAAAGGATGAAAATGTGTGATTAAGAAAGAAGTATATTTTTCCTTCAAACTTTTAACAGGGAGTTATGAACAGTGTTTTTGTTGTTTGCTGCTTTTTTTTTAAGACAAACAAATACAGGTCTCATACATAAACCAACAAAGTGTGTAAACCATTGCAAATTGTGACAAGCAATTAATGCAGCAGTTCAGTACAAACTGCAGAGATTACAGTGGCAAAGCAATGGTGCAGGAAGTTTCTGTTTCCTTCCTTAAAGCTAGTTGAAGATTACAAATTAATCTCAAAAGAGATTATGAGTATCTCAAAGAGTTAATGAGTATCTTAAAACTGACTGTTTCTCTTAATTGTTCAAAGGCCAGTTGGTCCTGAAGTGTATAAAATACCAGTGCATGAAGATGAGAAGCACAGCTGAGACAGTCAGAAAACAAACAGCAGACAGGAACCAAGTGCTGTGCCTGCTAGGAAAAATGCCAAAAGCTCTTTTTACCTTCTTTCGTCTTTTTGTGCTCTTACTCAGTTTCTCCATTATTTGTCTGGGAGTCCTTTGCGTTTCCACAAGTTTCTCCACATGCAGATGTGGAAATAATGAGCTGGCGTTTTATTGCCTGCTAGCGTTGGGGTTCATTGTCCTTGTGACTGGCCTTTTCTGGAGCACTTTCCATGAAGTCCGCAAATACAGAGGCCTCAGCAGCATCTTCATTCAAAATCCCAGCCGCAGAGAGCTGTGTATCAGCACCATAGACAGGTATGTGTTGCACTACTGCTGATGATGAATTGGGAGGGAAGGGTGCTGTTTTGTAAACATACAATGAGAAGAAAGAAACAATACAAGGTGTTTTCAAAATAATAAAAAAAATGTAGCCTTTTTATTATATTTCTATGGAGAGAACAGTAGTCTGAAATTTTATTTGCTAGAGCAGGCAGCAATGTGCAAACAGTAAGTTGTGCTAACAGTACATAAGGTAAGGTATACTACAGGAAAGATAGGAGGTTGCACAGAGTGGTCCAAAGCCATGCATGGAGGGAACAGGTGCAGCTACGCCGACTTCATGGAGCTCTTGCAGGAGCATCATTAGCTCCATCTCAACAGACAATACCAGGTGGGCTGCTGTGGGATACATGCTGCTGTGGGATATGTACTTACATTACTTATTACCAATGAGGTATGCAGGGAGCTTCAGCTCTCTGTATGGTCCCTGCTAAAGTTTTCTTGTGTGATCGTCCTCGCTATTCCTGAGCCAAGTCTCATGCTTTGAGAGAGAGTTTCTTAAACTGATTGGCGCTAGGCCTGACAAAAGTCTTTAACAGGGTCACTGGATACAAATTACTTTCCCCAGACTGTTGTGGAAACAGCACCAGAAACACCAACAATGGGTGCTCTAAAAGCACTATAAAAACAACATTCAGCAAATTTTGGTTACATAAGCAGAAACATGCAAAATGTATTTTAAAACTGTGGAAAACAATTATTAGTTTAATAATAAATAACTCACTAATTTAACCTACTTTGGACAGTTATGCCATTCGTCTTCCAAATTAAACTTTTGTCAAGCACTTGCTGAAATACTCATAAGCATGAGTGTTTGTATGGCATGGGTGGGAACTCTCACAGGGAAGGCTCAGTCTTTTGAGAATGCTGTATTTTAATAAAACATTTTACAGAAAGACACAGGTAATGATCCAAGCTATATCAGCTGTTTTATGTTAATATATTCCATTCATCTAAACCTACTTAGGTTTCCATTTACAGTTTAAGCCTCATCTAAACTTTGGAAACCTAACAGACAAAGCAAGCTCTCTGAGATAAATCACATTTCTCCATGATGTGTTTCTTTTTGGTTTGCTTTTTTTCAGGCCTGACTTCTATCCCCCCTCCTATGAAGACAGCACAGATCCTGAAAAACAGACTTTCCCACTGCCAGTTGCCTCCACATTAAAACAGCAAGAAGTCATCAATATCCCTCCGCCTCTGTATACCAAAAGCAGCACAGAGTTCATCAGTGAAACTAATGAGCAGGAACAGCCACCACCATATGAATTACCTATGCAGCAGCTACGGCAGGAGCAAACAGCTGACCAAGACTCAAACGCCAGGAGGGAGTCAAATTCTCATCCATCCATACAAGAAAACAGTTACCAACAGGATACAGACTGCCAGGGGACCTCAGAAAGAGCAATGCCTGTCAGAATATCTGAGACAGGCAGTGGGTAAAATCTTGCATCTGTGGAGTGGGGAAAACTGGAAGAAGACATGTGTCAGTGATCCCTAATAGTACACCACTTAGGGTGAAACTGCACAGGAAAAGCATTGACCATTTGTATGTCTGAGTGGAGTTGGAGGGGATATATATATAAAGGTGCTCAGTATTTCAAAGCAGAATGCATCTCCATAGAGATAGGTTGTATCTTATAAAAGTCAATATCACTGGCAATAGGAGTTTCTTATGCTGCAAGATAAAGAGGCATCATGCTGTTATCAATCTTAAATGTCTTGTGCCTCATAAGGAGTTTTGGCTGAAATTCCTCATTTGTGGTTTTGTAACATTAGCTGATTTGGGAAACTCAGCTTTTGTTTGGAATTCGTAAATTATTTGTTGTATCTGATTATTTTTGTATCATATGCCTTTCAAGTTACTTGTTTTATTTTGGGGTACTAATAGCTGGTATTTTACTATTGAATTTGTGAATAAATTTTGTATTTAAAACAAATGCCAAGTATTTGTTTATATGATACAAGATGTCCATGATTCAGGATAAGTACACAGTACAATACACACAATACACTCCCCAGCTGCTAAACAGACAACCCTGGTTATGCACACAGCTCCTCAAAGGGAACTAGCAATTGCAGGAGGAAAAACCTTCTCTGACTTACTCCTCTGAGCTGTCTCTAAAAGCAGTTACTTCCACTGCAGCTTACTCAAGACTGTGGGAACTAAAAAAGGGGTCCTGTATCCTGTTTCTGACAAGTGGCCTTGTGGTAGGGAACAAGTACCAGAAAGAAGACAGGCTTGGACTCATCCTTCCTCTGTTAGATGTTTCCTTCCTCCCACAAAATCAATGAGGCAAATTTGCATCCAGGACACTATCATCTATAATTCCAGATGACAAGAAAAATTTCATGGAGGTTGACTCAGATTTAGACCTGCATGGCTGACTATAGTTGGAGTTTTGCTTTTTGTTGCAGAACCAGTGAGACAGAAAAGTTGTCACACTTTCCATACGCCCACATACCCTAAGAGAACAACTTCGGCATTATGGCTGCATATACACTAGAAATGCAAGCCATGGTGGTGATGGTAACAATGGCTAAGGCCAGGGAAGGGAAAATCACGTCAGTTCTTTCTTCCAAAGAATTTCATCTTTTATGGGAAGGACCTGTAAACCTTCAGTTGATGTAAGGAAGAAGAAAAGCAGGATAAAATTGGGGTGAAAAAATTACAGAAAAAGGAAAATCAATTCAAGACAAGTTGAGGAAAAGAAATATATTAAAACAATCACTGGCTAAAAAAAGGTTCCCTGAGAAAGATAGAAGCTGATAGAGGATGCCATCAGCATATAAAGATTTTTCAAAGTGACTGAGAAGTGGAACAGCACAGAGGAGAACAGTAAAAGCCAGAGGAACACTACATTATTTCCAAAACAACTGAAGCAAGGATCTCCTGTGTCAAGTGTCCTTGTTACAGTCTTATCTCCTAGCACTACCATATCCACACCCTGAAATCCCTTGCTTCTTTACTCCATGGCCCCAGATCCCGAAGGCTGCAGGCACTGCACAAGTATTGGTGCAGGGATCAATTACAGCAGATGAGACTGGTTAGCCAGGAGATCTTCCATGGCAAAATGCTTGTCCTGTGCAAGTTCAACCTTATTTTTTTTGCTGTGGGAATCTAACTTTTCCACCAGCTAATTTTCAAAGCAAGTCCACATGAATGGGAAATAATTGAGACTACAGGTAGCTCTGAGAGCAAGCACTGCCAGAACTTTACAGTGATCCCATGCTTTTGTTTAATGACTCACTGACTTTCAGTATGGAGGAAGCATTTTGCATATATGGAAATTGTTTTTTTCTTGCTGGATCATATGTCTGATTAGGAAGCTGAAAGACACTTTCTGCTCTAATATACCCCACTGCATAGACCTAAATTCAGAGGTATAGGATGCAAGGTATGGGATGATTTCTTTCATGTAAAAACACGTAAGTCATTGTCCTGGTTTCAGCTGGGATAGAGTTAATTTTCTTCGTAGTAGCTGGCATAGTGCTGTGTTTGGGATTTAGAATAAGAATGTTGATAACACACTGATGTTTTAGTTGTTGCTAAGTACTGCTTATGCTAGTCAAGGGCTTTTCAGCTTCCCATGCTCTGCCAGGTGCACAAGAAACTGGGAGGGGGCACAGCCAAGATAGCTGATCCAAACTGACCAAAGAGGTATACCATACTGTATGACATCATGCTCAGTATATAAACTGGGGGGAGTTGTCTGGGGGGCAGCAATTGCTGCTTGGGGACTGGCTCAACATCAGTCAGTGGGTGGTGAGCAGTTGCATCACTTGTTTTTCCTGTGGTTTTTTCCTCTTCTTGTTGTTTTCCTTTTCACCATTTTTTAATTATTATTATTATAATTGTTGTTTTTTTGTTTTATTTTTATTTTATTTCAATTATTAAACTGTTCTTATCTCAATCCACGAGTTTTCTTACTTCTACCCTTCTGATTCTCTCCCCCATCCCACCAGTGGGGGGAGGGTAAGCGAGCAGCTGCATGGTACTTAGTTGCCCGCTGGGGTTAAACCATGACAGTCATATAAACCCTCTGCATAAATATGGCCTCCTTCTCTAGTCCCTTTAGTACAGGGAGGGTACAGCACCTAGCGATTTCTTATGTGCTTTCTCGCATTTACTTAAGGTGAATAGAAAGTTGCTCTTTGATCAGTTTGCTATAGGAAATGAGATTCAGATTCTTTCCACATATTTTATGGACAATCAGGTAGAGCTAAACCTCTCTTCCTTTCCCCCAATGCCAGGGTAGTCCTGCAGTGCCCATTTTTATCTCCAGCCTTCTGCAGATGTTTTCAGGTCTCAGTGGATCAAGAAATGTGAAACTGAAGATAACTGCGTCTTCAACCTGCAGTACGGAAGAAAGTATTTGAGACATGAAGGTTATTGAGATAAGGAGAAACTTAAGGTTAGTACCTAATATTTTATTTCAAACAATCTGTTTTTCAGTTTGTCTTTTCAGCTAATGAACTATTTGGCTGTGAACTTAATGGACAATGGTGTGGGCAATTAGCTGAAAAATGTCAACAATCTTAAAGCAGCAAAAGCTTTTAAACTGTTTGCTTTTCATCAAACTTACTAGCATGAAGTCATCTTTGCCAAGAATAGCAGCTGGAAGTTTTAGATTAAAAGGAATTTTCTTTGGACTAAAGGATATGAACTGGTAAAACTAAGCCTTCAGAACAGAACAGGTTCTTTCAGTGTATTGGCAACAACTTCCTGACACAGGTGACTCAGGGGCCAACAAGAATGTGCATGACTGTCCTGATACTTAAAACAGCAGAAAAAATGGGTTGGCATGTGAAGGCCTTTGCTGCAGTGACTGTGAGATGGTGGAGTTCAGGGTCTTGAGAGGAGGGAGAAGGGCAAAAAGTGGGACCAAAGTTTGCAGAGCAGTCTTTAACCTCTTCAGGGATCTACTTAGATGAACCCCATGGGTTATGGCCCTGGAGAAAAGGCGAGTCCAGGACAGCTGTTTAATTTTCAAGGATCGCCTCCTTCAAGCTCATGAATGGTTCATCCTGGCATACAGAAATCAAACAAAGGCAGCAGAAGGCCTTCACGGATGACCAGGGAGCTCCTGACTAAACTCAGATATGAACAGGATGTGTATGGTAAGTGGCAGCAGGGACAGGTGACCCAGGATGAATATATACTGTCCAATCATGCAGGGATGAGATCTGAAAAGCCAAAGCCCACCTGGAATTGAATCTGGTGAAGAAGATGAAGGGCAACAAGAAAAGTTTTTACAGGCATTTGTTCAAAAAACGGGTGGATGTGGCACTTTGGGACATGGTTTAGTGGGCATGGTGGTGTTGGGTTGATGGTTGGACTGATGATCTTAGAGATCTTTTCTAACCTTATCTTAATGAGTCCTAGTTTTACTTCCATTAAAAAATAATCCAGTCACCAAGCCAGGAAACATTAAATTATTACTCTATCCTTAACTGGTTTAGTAGTGGACTTGGTAGTGTTAGGTTAATGGTTGGATTGGATGATCTTAAAGGTCTTTTCCAACCTAAATGATTCTATGATTCTAGGCACATTAGGTGAAAGAGGACATAGAAAAGGCTGAGGTGCTCAATGCTTTCTTTGCCTCCATCTTTACTGGTAAAATCAGCCTTCAGGAATCCCCTGCCCTTGAGACCAGAGGAAAAGTCTGGAGCAAGGAAGACTTACCCTGGGTGGAGCAGGATCAGGTTAGGGAGCACTTAAACAAACCGGACATATGCAAGTCCATGGGATGACTTGGAATGCATGCACGGTGCAGAAGAAGCTGGGCCATGCCATTGCAAGGCCACCCTCCATTATCTTTGAAAGACTGTGGTGACCGGGAGAGTTCCTGAGGACTGGAAAAGAGCAAATGTCACTCCTGTCTTTAAGAGAAGAAGGAGGATCTGGGGAGTTACAGGCTGGTCAGCCTCACCCAGTTCCCTGGAGAGGTGATAGAGCAACTAACCCTAGAAACCCTTGCCAAACCCATGAAAGATGAGAAGGCTGCTGGGAGTAGTCAGCATGGATTTATGAAAGGCAAGTGATACTTTACCAACTTGATGGCCTTCTACAATGAGATGACTGGCTTGGAGGATGAGGGGAGACCAGTGGATATTGTTTGCCTCAATTTTAGTGTTTCAACACCATCTCCCGTAACATCTTCATAGACAAGCTGACAAAATATGGTCTAGATAAGTGGACAGTGAAGTGGATTGAAAAGTGGCTGAACAGCTGGGCCCAGAGGGTTGTGATCGCTGCCACAAAGTCCATCTGGAGGCCAGTCACCAGCAGTGTGCCTCAGGGGTCAATATTGGAGCCAATACTGTTTAACATCATCTTTAACGATCTGGATGATGGGACAGAGTGCACCGTCAGCAGTTTTGCAGATGATACAACACTAGAAGGAGCAGCTGACACACCAGAGGTATTTTCTGCCATTCAG